AGTTTACAGAGGAAAATTACACCATTGGTATCGGTTCATCACAGGTTCTGGACCTTTGGGATTTTCAACATGACGATTTGCAGTATTCTCCATTGAATCTTTTCGGGTTTAATGGGGAAACCAGTACTCCAATTAAAACAAACTTGGGGAATAAAATTCAAGAACCCGTTTCACTGCCATTTCCAAGCAATGTTACCATTGAATACAATAATTTGCAGTATTATCCATTGAATCCTTTCCGGATTAATGGGGAAACGAGTAATCAAGTTGAAACAAACTTGGGAAATGAAATTCAGGGACCCGTTTCATTGCCATTGCCTAGTAATGGCACCATTGGTGTTGAGAACATTTTAGATGATCTAGTTCCCGAGAATTCTCAAATCAATCATTCCATGATTGACTGGGAAATGAGAAGTGAAACAAACTTGGGAAATGAAATACAGGAACCCTTTTCATTCTCCTGTTCGATCCCTCCTATTACTGGGGAAACCTTTGGTGATCTACAGGGAACAACGATTTCAGGGTTTATGTGTAATGAATCCAATGGAGGAGAAACCGGTAATGAAACAAGGACAGATTTGGTGTCAAGTCTACAAGTTCAATTCGGTTGTCGTTGTTGCGAAATTTTGAGAGAAATTGTTCATGTCAAGGGTGCGTTTTCTTCTATAGGTGGACTTGTAATGAAACTTCAGATACATGGAAAATTAGTTGGAGTTTTCTTTCATGCTGTTCTTGATGTTCAAGGAAGCAGTGAAGCAGTGTCTCATCGAATGTTCGAGTAAGATTTCATGTTGTTATTTGATTAAAATTTAAAACTTGGTTAGATTAATCTCGAGGAATATGTTAAAAATCCTTTTTTTTTTCCCAATAGTTTCAACGAGAAAAGCTTTGAGGAAGTGAAGCAGTTTCTGACACAGTATTGCATGAAGCGAAATGAAGAGAGATTTACAATGATGAACGATCCAAAATCAAGTTTCTTCCAAGCACTGTGTGTAGGTTTTGATTGGTATGCAAATCTGGCTAATGGGGCAGATCCAGGTATCCAACTCTTCTCAAACATACATGTATTTAACATAATTGCACCGAATCATTTGGTCTGGTTTGTCACATTTTGGTGGAAAATCTTGTGAACTTTTTGCAGCCACCAACAACGGTAGTAACCGGGGGAATTTGCCACTGTCCGTGGCAGAACAGAATGAAGCTACAAACATCAAGAATCTGATTTCCTTAACTGAACAGGTTGGAGACCTATTCAAAACCGCTCCATTTTCATTGAATTCGATTCGAAATGATTTGCATTAGCCTCTAAAACTTGTATAAATAATGGCAGAGGAGGAGAGCGAAAGAGACGACAATCAAAGATTTGGCAAATTATTTCCATCTTACAAGAAAGGAGGCAGCCAAGAAACTGGGATTATCTGAAACAGTAGTTCACAATATATGGTGCCAAGGGAATGGTGGTGTGAAAAAAAGGTGGCCTTTTCGGAAGGTTTGTTTTTGTTGCTAATATTTTCGAAATGCTGTCTAAGATTCGCCTCTTTCGAATTTAAAATACTAATATTTTCTGTTACTGCATATATCAGATTCACAGCAAAGTGAAGGAAATCGAGAAATTGAAAGAGCTGTTGAAATCAGAGGACCCATCCATTAAAGATCGTACTAGAGATGATATATGTAAGAAGGAAGCAGAGTTGGGTAAATATTATGAGGGAATTTCATGATTCTTTTTCTAACTTACATTACATTTTGGTGTTAACTTTAGAGAAGACTGCAAAAGCTTTGCATGAGAATTGAGAATAATTTTATTTTCTCCAGATTCTGTAACCTTTCTCATAAGCATGGAAAAATATACACCAACACTTTGTGGAAAAATCTTCACAAATAGAATAGGAGAATTTTAACTAATGTCGAAAATAGAAAAATACAAGAGAATCCACATTAAATATCATTAAATGTTGTTGACAAATCTACCAAAATTGCACTTGAACTAAACAAAGCATGAACATGCAAATGCACCACAAGCCTACATCTTGACAGCAACCTGTTCTGCTGAACTTCTCTTCACATCTCCTCTATAGCACAACTCATTTAGCAACTCCAATGCCTCATTAGCTAAGCCTTCATATGCTATGCCTTCAATGAGAATGGTCTATGTAGATTCAGTAGGTTTACGTCCCCTCATCACCATATAAGCCAAGAAGTCGATAGCACGATCAGTCTGCCGAGCCTTACAAAGGCCTAACATGATGGAGTTATATGTTATGGCATTTGGCCTAACACCCATTCTCTCAAAGTCGTGAAAGAACTTTATTGCATCATCAACCTTTCCTTCCCTACTAAGTCCTCCAACAAGTGAAGAGTAGGTAATTATGTCAGGCTTTAGACCCTTAGCAAGCATCTCATCCAAAAGTTTTATAGCTTGATCTGTTTTCCCGACCTTTGCAAGCCCGTCAATCACAGTATTGTAAGTGATTAAAACAGGCGAGCAACCCTTGGTACTTAGCTGATTGAGTATCTCAACTGCCACATCAAGCTTCCCATTTGCATAATGCTGTGAGCAAAGTATTATAGGTCACAATATCAGGGTAGCAACCTCTAGACACCATTATCTCCAAATATTCGATCGCCCTCTCCATTTTCTTTTCTTTGCAGAACCCATGGAGCAATGGATTATAACTTAAGGAATTAGGAGTACACCCATGCTTGTGCATCTTTTCCAATACATCAATTGCTCGGCCCAGTAAACCTTTTTGGCATAAGAAATTAATCAGAATATTGAACGTAACAACGCTAGGGGAACAACCTTTACGTAACATATCAGCTAACAATATCTCTGCATCCATCCACCTACCAGTGCTACACATGCTACGCAGAATAATATTATGAGTAATCACATTGGGTTGGCATCCATATGATGGCATGCTATTCAAGAACTTGATTGCTTCATCCAATCTCCCCTCCTTACAAATCCCATTGACCAGAACATTAAAAGTAACTACATCTGGTTTACATCCTCGACTCCTCATCTCATCCAAGAGCTTCATAGCTTGTGCAACACCACTCTCCTTGCAAGTTGCTTCAATCAAAATTGTATATGTAATCACATCCGGATAACAATCTTTCTTCAATTGTCGATCCAGGACTTCCATCGCTTGCTTCAACTTCCCACTATCACACAGGCTACGCAAGATCGTATTATACGTAACAACATTAGGAGCAACACTCATCCGATCCAAAACTTGTAAAGCATTATCAATCTCCCCTGCCCTGCAATACCCACTAATCAACACATTATAAGTTATGACATCAGGAACAGCCCCTGAATCTTCGATAATGTCCATAACCCGGGTAGCTTTTCTAGTCTTGCCTCTCTTACAAAACCCGCGAATTAAACTTGTACAAGCTATAATATCAGGAATCTCACCATGATAAACCATGCCCTCGAGAAGCATAAACCCTTCTTCCAATTCACCATTTCGAACAAATTTACGGAGTTGATTATTGCTACCAGATTCCTCAAAGTAAGTACCCTTCTTGGGAACTTTCACAACTGTGCAACCTCCCATTAACACCAGCACTTTCGACCTTCGAAAAAGCAAGTACCTTACACCGCCTTCGCATTTGGAAACGTAAAGGTTTACAGCACAGAGAAGCTTTCACATAACTAAAATTGGTAACCGCTTTAGACTTAACCCGAGCTTCTAAAAAGCTACTATTCCCCAGACCCTCACTCTGAAAGTAACAAAACCCTTCATGGGCATGGCTTGTATATACTATCACATCCATGCTTTACGTACGCGTTTGTAAATAACCAAAATATCAATACTCAAAAACCATCGCTTAAAAAGAATTATTCCAACACAATTATAAAGGTAATAGGAGTTCAAAATGAGGCTTCTCTCTAGAGACTAGAGGAAGAGAGGTTACCTGGAGATAAGCTTTTCAAAAGGGGATAACTTGCCCGTTGTTTGTGACTTTATCCAGTTTTGTTTCCTTCTGGTTATGGTTTCTATGAAATATCTACAATGGAAGGCATAGGGGAAGTAGCAGCCAAGTCCCGCAGTTGAGGCTGGGTTTTTCTTATTCGTTGAAAAGAGGGGATTTTTATATAGGGTTTATGGGCCAAATATGAAACCCAAAAGTTCACGGACTCTGCCCTCTTATGAAATTCCCTATGGGTCCTACATCTCCGTCTTCTTCTGTCTCAAAAGGAACGGAGGGGGATGAGTCAAATATTCTTTGAAAACTCAATCTTTCCCTCCATTTCCTACGCTTCTTCTTGATCCCCCACTCTTCAAAGAAGAATTTTCTTTGAAAGAGAAAAGAGGAAGGAAAATAATTCAGCTTTGGTGATGGAAAACTCACCTTCAGTTGGAGAAGTCTTTCGAGATTTCAAGGGTCGTCGAGCTGCCATCATTAAGGTCCTCACTATCGGTAATATTTTTCACTTAAAAGCAATCACCATCTTTTCTCCTTTTTGGTTCTCATCTTCTTAACCACCTTTTGTCTTTCAAAGTTTTTTATACTTAATTTAATTTCGGGGTATTATGGTGGTTGCAGAAGTGGAAGAGTTCTACCAGCAGTGTGATCCGGGTACTAAAAAAACTTTTTAAGGGAGAATAAATCGTCAAATTGTCAAATTTCTATGCCCAAATTTGTTTTATTATTTAAGATGCTTTAGCTTGAGAATTGAAATACCGATTTCTTTTAGTTTAAGGCTTTTTATATTAACGGTACAAAATGATGAATTATTTATGAAAAAAGTAGATTATTCTCATTTATTCCATCATTATTGTTCTTCTTCTTCTGGTGTTCTAACTTCTATTACAGATGCAGAAACATATTCATTCTCAAACCAATGAATGCGAATGCAATTAGTGCATTGTAGTTACCTTATCATGATTTTACTTGTTCTTCCTTGTTAGGTTGTAGATGCATGAAAATTGAAATGGAATGAGTTATATATATATATATAAACTTGTTACAGTAAAGAGAATCTTTGCCTTTATGGATTTCCCAGTGAGCAGTGGGAGGTGACTTTACCTGTTGAGGAGGTGCCTCCGGAGCTTCCTGAACCTGCACTGGGTATTAATTTCGCCCAAGATGGGATGCAAGAAAAGGATTGTCTATCTTTGGTTGCTGTACACAGTGACTCTAGGTTAATCTCTGTGGCTTTCTATTTTGGTGTTAGGTTCAGGTTCGACAAAGCTCATAGTTATTTTTCTCCTCTACAAAGTGTTGTCTTAGCCTGATCAGCAAATCATTCAGCACGAAGGGGGCTTTACTTAAATTCGAGGTGCTGTTAGCTGGGTTGCGTATGGCTTGACCAACAAGCATGCTGTATTTCTAGCTACAATGTTTCCTCATCAACACCGTTCTGTTAATGTGATTGCAGGAAACAACTTTTCAATATGATAAATGATCTTCCGACAATATTCGAAGTCGTGAAAGGAGTGGCTAAGAAACAGATGAAGGAGGGATCGTTGGTTTCAAATCATAGCAGCAACAAATCTAAATCAAACTCCAAGGTAAGAAAAGTTTTCTTCTTTAGCTATTTCATTAAATGTGATCTGTTTGGATTTTTTAGGGTTCAAATGTAGTATTATTCTCACAATTTGACAAGGCTTTATATTCGATTTTTATATATTTTTCCATGTTTTAAGATCTTTAAAAATATCACATCTTCATACCTATGTATGGATCTATGTTGAACACGGGTACTTCAAGAACAAGAACAACGGGTCGGAGCAACATAGGCAAAAACTCATAGTGGAAGTATAATTCTTTCAGGCACAAAGCTCATTCAATTAAGTTGTTAGCGTTTTGGCTTGTTAATTTTCTGCAAAGCAGGGAGCGGGAAATAACCTTAGAATTTCGATGTCATCCTGTAAATTAGATTTTCTTTTCACTTTGTGTCTGATAAAATGCAGCGAGGCTCCAAATCCCAGCCGAAATATTCAAAGGCAATGCCGTTGAAGGATGATGATGATAATTTGGTTGAAGACAAAGAGCATGGAGAGACATTATGTGGGGGTTGCGGAGAGAATTATGAAGCCGATGAATTCTGGATTTGCTGTGATATGTGTGAGAAATGGTTCCATGGGAAGTGTGTTAAGATTACAGCAGCAAAGACAGCATATTAAGCAGTACAAATGCCCATCGTGAAGAAACAAGAGAGCAAGACCTTGATGCAAGCTCTGGTCAGGTGGATAGTAGTTTCGAATCGCCCTGGTTGCACAAGGATGTTATCTTAAATATGTCATGGTCTTTGGTGGTCTCCAATCTCCATGGCCATTCCCCGACTACTATTGAAGGAAATTTTCTGAGGTTTTGGAGCAGGGGATTGTGTTTCATATGATATGTCTGGCAAATGGAGTAGAATTCTTGCTGAGGATGCAACAATCATTGGAAACTTGAACCTTTACATTTTGATGTGTGGACTATGATCTGTGTAAGCTATTCATCAGTGTCAATACCATCATGAGATTGATTACTATGATTTTAATCTAATGTATCAAATATTTATCAAAATACTTAAAAGGTAATTAAATCATCATGCTATTTGAATTTAAAAATCTTAATTTAATTAATATCATTAATATTTTTTTTCAAAAATTAGTTTATTTTATGTCAATAATATGCCATGTTATATAAAACAGCCTAGTCAATATATTATGTTTTCAAATTTGACGAACTAATTGGATTAAAATTTTAAAATAAAAAAGATAAAAGGATTTAGTTTTAAGATACTTAAGTATGTGAAGTAAGAGGTTGTTTGTTTGCCTTTTAATGGAACAATTCAGAGATGAATGTTGAACCATTCAACGTTGAATGCTGAATCATTCAGTGTGTTTGATTCGCATCTCTGAATGATTCAGTGCTGACTGATTCAATAAAACAATGTTAAATGATTCAGCACAGAAGTACATTCTAAATGATTCAGAGCCATTATCAAACAGCATATCACATTCAGAGCTAATTCATACAGAGCATCTGAATCATTCGACGCTTAATCATTCTGAATTAAACAAACAACTCTAAGTCTCAAAATTTGTCAAAGTACAATGACAAACAGAAAATTTTGACCCAAAAGTTAAAAGAGCCCATTTGGGTAAAAAGAAACCTATAGATTTTTTAGGCCTGAAACCAAACGGAACTGAGTCTTTTTCTGGCGTTCTCTCTGTGTCCAACGCCAAATTACCAAAATCGCAGAAAGCAATAAGCAAGAGGGTTTGGGGTTTCAAGTTTCGAGCTAACGGATTTAGTTTAGTTTGAGAGTTGCAGAAATATATGGGGGATCCTTATTACATATACCCTCCTGCTTCAGGAGTAGATAGAGGTGCTCAATCTTTGTTTTGCTTTGAATTTTGCTTATTTTCTTTTGTAATGTGCTTTTTTATATGAAATCATTTGAACTTGTCTACAGAAACTATTCATGGATATTTAAGGAAAGCTCGGTTATACGTATAGTATAGCTATTCCGTTTTTCTTTTCCTTTATTTAATTATGATGTCCCATGGCTCTTGACTTATTAAGATGTAATTTGTAGAGTAAACAAAGATGGTATCGTTTAATGAACTGCACTTGCTATGAATTTCTGTTGGGCACCATTATTTTGCATTATCTTTATTCAATAGTTTCTTGTAGATTTTCCTTGTGTTTGCTACATATTGAATTCGATCAATGTCGTATTTTCAACAATTATATTTTGTGGAAGTGGAAAATTTTCTGCTTCACTGTCTGGTGCTTTGCACTGAGGACATCATGGTTATGGCATACCTTAAATATGGAATATAATGATAGATAAAAAATATTTTTTCCCGGTTTAGATTCTTTTAAATTTAATAGTGAATATTCTGATTTTTTCGTGCTTTCTGTGTCCTATCTCCAAATTGATCTTAACAAATTAAGGTTGCTTTAGTGATGGTTGACTTTCATTGCAACAGGTAGTATTCCAAGACCCAGCTTTCCTGGCTACTTCTCAACTGAAGCTGTCCCGTTGCCATCTCATCATGCTGATATGCAGGCTACCTCTTCCGATGTTCAAAAGAGAGATGTAAGGCTGTTCTAGTATTTTATCGTTTTCTTAAATAATATCGGGGTTTTATAACTGAATGTACCTTCATTTTCATTTTTTTTCAAGCAGATTAGTCAAATGCAACCGGCGATGTATGGTGTGAACACTATTTCTAATCCCGGAGTTTATCCTGAGACCAATCTTGGTGGCTCATCAGCTGGAGCAACTGCATGGGCTTATCCATCTTTTGGAGATCCAAGTTTAGGTGCTCAAAGGTGGAATGCTCCCTTAGGTAATAGTTCAGCTGCGGGAGTTCGTCCTGATCCTAGTTTTGGTGGTGTATCAGCTGGACCGTCCATTAGGGAAGTTCCAAATTTAGTTGGCCATCGATGGGATGCTTCTGGTATTAGTTCAAGTGCTGGAGTTCATCCTGAGCCCAGTCTTGGTGCTGTATCAGCTGCAGGTTCTATTCGTGGTTATTCATCTCCACTAGATATTCCAAGTTTTGCTGGCCAAAGGCAGGGTGTTCCCGTAGGCATTAATTCTAGTTCTGGACTTCATCCTGAGCCCAGCCTTGGTGTGGTATCAGCTGGAGCTAGCATAAAGGGTTATCCATCTCCTCAACGAGATTCACCCTTGGTTGACCAAAGAAAGGATGGTCCATTGGGCACGAAGCCTGGTATTCCTGATGCTTTAGATGAAAAGACTGCCTCTGTCAGAAATGGTGATTGTCACATAGGCACTGCTGGAGAATCAAACATTTTGTTCGTGGATTGTCTTCCTACAGATTGTACCAGGAGAGAAGTTGGACGTATCCTTTTATTCCCATGAATGCGTTCGCGAATATGGAAATAGCAATATTCCAAGAATGTCTAAGCAATATTTCAGATAAAAAGACACATGCTTCACAATATTGTGCAAAATTAAACTGTATTATTCCTGACTATCAAAGGTTCTCATTGTTTTGAGGTAATTGTTCTCCATTACCTAACATCAAAGATCTTTTCTGTTCATTTACCGGCTACAAAGATATCAAAGTTATTCACAAGGAACCAAGACGTGTAAGTTTACTGCTCAATCTTTTCTTTCGATTTAGGTTTCAGCTTTTGCTAGAGCTTCTTGAAATGCTTTAGTCTGTTTTGTGCTTAAGCCTTTCTATGCAGTCCTCCTGAGAAATGTTGGAGACAATGACGCAAAATACCTAGATGTTAACATATTTGCATTATATTCTTCCATTAATTTAGTTTTAGTTCTGTTCTTTGCACTTTATTGTTGTCTAACTAATTAATTCAATTGTAGAGTGGAGATAGAGCCATGGTTTTGTGCTTTGTATAGTTCAACGACTCAAAATGTGCGATGATAGCCATGAGAGCTCTTCAAGGTAATCTAGGCTTCAAAATTTGCTTAGAGATTTTGAAGAGAAAGATGATTATGCATCAAAATGTTAAGTGGTGTTTAATAGCATTTACATCAAAATATATTGCATCTATTAACTATTGTGTTTCCTGTAGTTTTTATATTTAAGTTGCCCCCCTCCACTTATTGCCAAAATTGGGGTTTAGGTTAGATGCTTTACATGATATCAAACCTGGGTTTTTTTATTCCTGCCCAACCTCAAGTGAGGCTTATGACTTACTCGTGAAGGCGGTGTTCAAGTGTTGTTACCCCACAATTGTTGATTATTTGGGGTTTCCTGTGAACTTATATTAAAGTTGGACCACTCCCACCTATTGTCGGCTTTCAATATCATATGTGGAGCATATTCAGTTGGCAGTGAGCAAAAGATGTTATGAAGTTCTACATGCTTCATCAATTTCTGGCAATCTTTTGTTTTCTGTCGATAATTCAGATGCACTGTGAGTTAGCAGTCAATTACTAATAGCTGGTGGAATGTTGAATTTTCTGCAGGTTACAAATTTGATGACAAGAAACCCGACTCTCCGGCCTTGGGAATTCAGTTTGCACATTTCCCTTTCTGTCCTCAAATGGATCGAAAGGATCACCTTCGAACTGATTGAAATGATCAAATTGTGGTTGTAGACTAGTTTTCAATTGCATTGTATATGTTGTGGTAGAGGACGAAATGGATGCACTCATGGTCAACTGTGGCAAATGTCCATGGTGAAGATAGGCGCCTAAGAGATTTGAAACCTTAAAACATCCATGTTGGTGCGTTTTGATTTCATATGAGACCTCGGATGCCTTGTAATATTGGACGTGTTGATGTGCCCAATTTCAATCATGTCAATCAGTTTTTGTGATTGCCTATACATACCAAATGAGTTCCTATTTTCTCATGTTTTGCACGTATGAGACCTCGGATGCCTTGGGATATTTGTAAAAATGGCCATCACATTGATTATGTTCTATTTTATCTTCAAGATATGTATCCATGTATTGTATTCTCTTATTTTATGTACATAATTATAAATTTATAAATTATATGTTAAAAATATATAAAAACATGAAAATGCAACAACAAATAATATATATATTAACTCCATTTTACTTCTTATAAAAGTAAATTATGGTTATTAATATAACTTTCTACCACATATAGTCCAAAGTGAAAAAAAAAATAGATTAGGTAGTTACATTTAATTAAAACGCACCATCCATAAATATAAGCAAACAAATGGTAGACTAGTTTTGTTTGATCTCCAACAATATTTTCTTTTTTACTTTTTCTTTTAAAAATATTTTTTTTATTTTTCAAAAGTTGAGAAACATGCTTGATAGCTAGAATTTTTTTTAAATAATGAAATTGACATACTATAGTTTTCAACTTTTCAATTTTCAAATCATTTTCACTTAAAATAATAAAACATTTTTAAAATTTTCGCACTTTCAATTTTTACTTTTCAGAAATTATTTTTAAAATTTTAAACTAAACATATTCTATTTTCTATTTTTCAATAATGAGATTAGCCTCTATTTATTAAAACCAAGCTGAGCCTAAATAACTTGCATAGATAAAGGGGAGAGAGAGAGAGAGAGAGAGAGAGAGAGAGAGAGAGAGAGAGAGAGAGAGAGAGAGAGGAGGTGGTGAAATAATAGATATGGTATTATTTAAATGAAAAAAGTACTAAAATATTAATATAATCTTATAATTACATATAGTTTGCTTATATTTTGATGTTTATGTAATTCCCTATCTGAAATAATGTCATGACGTCAAACTTAAATCACAAACTTTATTGTAATATAGATATATAAAGTTAAATATTTAAATTTAATTAAAAATAAAAGATTATTTA